GGCACAGCTTCAGCGGCGGGGGAAGGAGCGGGAGCGATGTTGTCGGATAGGATGCATGCGACCCCGCCTGTTGCCCCCGCGCCGGTGTCGGTGGCCGCCGCTGCCGCCTTCCAGGTTCCACCGTCAGCCCCAGCCGCCGCTGCTGAACCGGGGCAGGGTCTGTACCCTACCGGGGCCGCCGGCTACGCCCACCGCTATCCCCTCGTAGACCCCAGCCCCGTAGTGAAGGACCTCAACACCTATGACACGGCCCGCCTGCTGCCACCCATGGAGCTCTTGCCGTTCGAGGATCCCCGGAGCTGGACCGCCGCCGTCAACATGGTGCGTTCCCTGCAGAACGCTGTAGCCATCATCAGGGACGGGTGTGGGGACACCGACACATAACACTGGCGGCGCCAGTGGACAGCGCCGTTGTTGAGACATCTAGTGAAACACGTAAAGAATGACTAAAATGCACAGCGAGTCATAGGGGAGTTGACAGCGATGTTTACGGGGCTCAACGAGCGTTTGGCGCCGCCGGACGGCGTTTCGGGGCCGGTAGGGTTGCAAGAACTCACAGACAGCATGTTGAAAATGTTTTTCCAGATTCAAGTCTCACGCATTCCCACCATGCTGCAGCAGTTCAACGTCCCTGAGGGCACCCCTTTTTTGACGTGGTTCGCAGAAATCAGGCGGTTGATCGAGGGCCTTCGCTGTTTTGGGCCCGGTGCCCAGAAGAGTCGGCTCTGATCGCGTGCGCCACCGAATGCCTCAGCATCCAATTCCCCAGGGTAGAGATGAACTTTGCAGACAAGCTGGCTAAGACTACCACTTCCCGAGGGTTCTTTGCCCTGTTCAAGGACCACACGTTCAGCGCCATACCAGCACAAGCACCAACCCACGTAGGAGCAGCCCCGCCTAGACACTCTTTCCCCACACAGAGCAAATCACAGCAGCCGCGAGTCATGATGGTGCACGGTGGGACATATGATGTGCCAGATAACGGCACAACCTATGACCCGGTAGACGAGGATGATTGGCAGGAGGTGATTGAGGTGAAAGCACGACCACCCGCGGGCAAACAGACCAGAGGCATTAGGCTGTTCCAATACTCCTTCAACTCACAAGAGGCCAAAGAGGGTAGGGAGAAGTGGGGCCGGGTGTGTTATAACTGCAAATCAGAGGAGCACTACCTCCGCAACTGCGACCAGCCATACACAAACGCGTGTGCACAATTCAACAAAGCATTTGGAGAAGGCACCTCGACGGAGGTTGAGGAACGTTGGCGCGACGTGTTGGCAACCCTCCAGAAAAACTATCAGCGTGCTAGGGTCCGGCCGAAAAATCTAGTTCTTCGAGCCATTAGTACCTCGTCGCCGGGGGCTACAACCTCCCGGCGGCGGCAGCATCGGTACCAGTAATGGGTAAGGGAGGCAGCCCCCGTGACAGGGGGGCGTCGACATCCGCAACACCAACCGATAAACGTGTACAAAATAGGAACAGAAGCGGCAGAGAGAGTAGCAGCAGTAGGGAGAATCTACATGTTGAGCAAATCCCGGAGGTGCAGCGAGTACCCATCCGGGGCGAAATCCCGGAGGTGCAGCGAGTACCCATCCGGAGCGAAATCCCGGAGGTGCAGCGAGTACCCATCCGGAGCGAAATCCCGGAGGTGCAGCGAGTACCCATCCGGAGCGAAATCCTGGAGGTGCAGCGAGTATCCGTCCAGAGCGATAACCAGAACAGAGCGGGGTAAAGATCGGGAGTCATGACCCGACACCAAAACCCAACTCACCTCAGAAAGAAACAGAACCGAAGAGGCATAGGACAGGGCAAAGGACACGCCCGCTCCCCCGCAAGCGCGAGTGGAGTACCCAGAACACCGTAGTCCAGGAAGGAATTGAGGCCGAGCCCACAGATACAGCTAGGCCGCTTCCGAACAGCGGGGAGGGGGGGGCAGTCGATCAGATCGGCCCTTCCCCAACGCATGGTATAGTCTCTGCCCATCGAAATTTGTCAGAGGTAACCGGCACCCCAACAGCAGCTCTTGACACAGCAGCAGCTACACAGCAGTCAGTCGCGGCGGTCGTAGGAGTACCGGCAGCAGCGGCACAGTGCACACAGAGTAGAACGGAAGTGGTAGAGACTTCGACAACTATCCCAGAGAGCGATGTAGGAGCGGAACAGCTTCCGTCGCCTACATCAAGGGCCCCTCTGACCCAGATTTATTTAGGACAGAGAGGGCACACGGAACGGAGAAAGACTAAAAACAATAGCCATAGGGCAAGGGTACACGGACGGAAGGGGGTAAATGTCATGAGTGTGAAGGATGAAATTGCTCCGAGCCTGAGCGTGTGGAACAAACAGCGGACGGGCAGAGTTGCACACGATACTTTTGGGAGGGAGCTACCGAGTAGTTTTCTGAAGGAGTCATTGACTTCAAGGCAGGGGAGGTATGTTTGAGTGCTAGCCGTCAGACCGCGAAGGTGAGTGTGTTTGCAGGGGCACATGCCCGAGTAGCGCAGCCAGCAGTGGCGTTAGTTGACACCGGGTCACCCCAATCATTTGTGGCCGAGAAGGTAGTCAAGCGCATGCTTGAATGCGGGGCAGCCTCGAAATCAGGCATCCGCACTGCCAAAACACGTAGATGGAGTGGGTTTGCAGGCACACCATTGGCAACGAATAGCATGGTGCGACTCAATGTACAGTTTTTCGATCGTGCGTTACAACCCACAGCAAAGCTTGCAGTGAACGCGTATGTAGTACCAGAGGAGGTGATGAGCCACAAGGTTCTCCTCGGTACAGACAGTTGGGCGCGTTTCCCTGTGAGGGAGTATAGTGATGAAAGGGAGGGTGAGACCTCTCTCCGATTGAAAACCTCCCTTCCTCCTACCCAAACACCTACGGTTGACCAGGATGCTGAGCCGGAGATGGTAGCGTACATCGAGTCACCAGACCATGATGGCAGCGAGCATCGTTTGATTTTTGATTCCACGAAAGACGTGCAATACTTGACAGACCAGAGGTATTGGGTCCCTCTCCGAGTGGAGACGGCGGAAGGACAAGTAGTCAGGGAAGGAAGTTTTTTCGCAAGGTTTTCAGAGAACTGGACCTCGCCGGAAATGGTGGTAGAGGCAGGAGGGGTAGCATTGCCCCTTTCTCTGCGTACAGCGTTGGGAGTACGGGCGGGTAGCATCAGCAGCAGCAACGTAACACCCTTGTGTGAAACACCGCTGTCGGATTTCGTCGTTACTTCAGAGCCCACCGTATCGTTGTACGCAGTAGAGGAGGAAGAAGCAACCGCCGACTCCTCCGCTAACCCAACCCCACCCCCCTTCCCCAGCCCCGACTCCCCTCCCACGGAGTTACTTTCCGACATGAAGCCAGAGTGCCAGGAGGCATTCTGCAGGCTATGGGCACGGGTGCCGGCGCATGTACGTGAAGTGAATTTTGGGTTGGGGCATGACGCTTGGACGGCCAAGGACATTGATAGCTTAGCGGATGTATTAGTGGAGCATGCAGATCGGTTTTCGGCGCATAAGACTGATCTAGGGCACTGCACCGCCTTGCCATTTCGCATGGACCTGAAGCCAGGTACGAGACCGGTACAGCAGCGCCCGTACCGGCGGAGTCCAGTAATAAACCGAAAGATTAAGATAGAGATTGATCGGTTAGTTAGCTGTGGGATTTTGCGGAAGTCCACCTCAACTTGGGGGTCGCCGCTTGTAGCTGTGTTAAAGAAGGATGGTAGCCTGAGGTTGGCATGCAACTTTAAACGGTTAAATGAGGCGACAATCGTTCCCGTTTCCCCCATGCCCTTAGTCAGCGATCTCATAGCGGCGCTGGGAGGGAGCAAGGCTTCTCGGTCCTCGACCTGCTGAGCGGGTACTTTCAAGCTGCCATCGACGAGTTGAACATCCCCCTGACGGCTGTCTGCACTTCATTCGGGTTGTTCGAATGGACCCGGACTCCACAGGGATGCTCCGGGAGCCCGGTGAACTGCCAGTCGCTGATGGCTAAGGTGTGTGATGGGTTGAAAAGGATTCAAGTGTATCTAGACGACGTGATTGTGCCGTCCCTCACGGCCGCTGAGCACTTGGTGCAGTTGAAGGAGTTGTTGGTGCGGTTCACGGAGTTTGAACTCAAGCTGTCCCCCAAGAAGGCCCACATCGGCTCGGCCGAGGTTACGTTTCTGGGGCATTTGA